TTCTGAGACTCTAACTCTTTACAGAAGTGGAAAGCTTAGTCGTTCTCCCGAGGAGCAACTGTTGATTTCAAACTGTCTAATTTAAGGGAGAAGTCCAATGGGTAACCCAGTAAACCATCTAGCCCAGTGGTTCTCAAACTTCCTAATGCCACAACCCTTTCATACAGTTCCTCATGTGCTGGTGACCCCCGCCCCAAACCATAACATTATTTTTGTTGCTACTTCATAACTGTAATTTTGCTACTGTTATGAATTGGGCGACCCCTGTGAAAGGTTAATATTTCCCCCAGCGGGGGTCGTGACCCACAGGTTGAGAACCGCTGCTCTAACCTAGCACCAGGGCAGTTGACATACTGTTGACCTACCAGGGTTAGCAGTTACAAAGAAGGTCTGGTGTCACTGCAGAATAAACTTTGGGCTGCTAACACAAAGGTTAGTGGTTCAAAACCACCAGCCATTCTATAGGAGAAAGAAGGTGTCTACACTCATAATTTAGGCTCGGAAAACCCAAGGGCCGCTATGACCTGAAATCGACTTTATGGATATGGGTCTGTGTTTTGGAATGGGCTTTTGTTTTATGAGCTATGCAACTTTACTCCTCTCCTTTCACAATGTTCTGATTGTGTGCGGCCCACTTGATTGTAACTCACATTGGCCTTATCAGACAATGCTGAGCAAGGGAGGACACACATCCCAGACCCCTATCCTTGGTGAGCTTCATTCAAAGTAGAAGGAGTAACCATCCATCTGGCTCAAATCAGCCAGATAGAGGACCTGGCTGGATGCCCCTGCTCAGTCACTTAACTAACTTGCTACTTGAGTAAGTTTCTTAAAGTGGTCTTAAATTCTTCTTCTGTAAATGTATTGACATAAATCCCTCATAGGGTTATTATAGAGATTGCAGTTAGTATCAAGGGCTCCGAAAGAGTGGAACCTAGTTAAGCCATTGCCAAGGAAGTAAAACTGGAAGAGACCCAAATTCTTTACATTTGGGTGAAGAGGAGGGATAGCTCCGACAGAAAAAATTACAGGTTGAATCCCTGGAGGCTGGAAAGAGGAACTGCAAGCCCTTCCAGCAGCCTGACTCTGCACGCTGGGTTATTGGTAGAACTTTGACCGGGATAGTGTCCATTTGAGCCAGCTGCCAGTGCTTCCCACTCTGTAGGGAAGATATTTGGTTGCTATGCAAAACATATGGGCCTTTAAGAAGGAGATGCCATTTCTAGCAGGGCTGTAACCCATTATTTTCCCCGTTCTCGCTATTGCTCCAGTTCACCCAAACCTCCTCATGGTTTGACTAGGCTGAACCAGTTAGAAGTCACTGTTCCTATCAAGTATTAGTCAAATGCTGGAACATGGAGGCACTACAGAGAAGGAAATAGTATAGCTACAATAGCCTTCAGCTTCCAGAAACAAATTAGTCTTCTGAAGGTTAAATGCTGATGCACATTTAACTTCTCTCAAAATATGGGAACCAATTCATTGGCAAAAATTACCTTCAGAGGCGCGTCCTCCCCATATAAACCAAAAACTCCGCCGCCAGCAAGTCTATTCCGACTGAGAGCAAACTTATAGGACTGCCTCTGTGGGTCTCCAAGGCTACTGTGGTAGTTACATCATTTCATGTCAACTTGAAGATATATAAAAATGGAGAGGTGGTGTTCAACCTGTCAGTCAGGTCACAACTTCATGGTTCCTCTTCGTGGGGGTGGCCTTGCCATAAAGGACCAGGGAATCTCTCCTCCACCCACCCCTTTCACTCTCTGCCTTCATCTTTCTTCTAGTTGAGCACTCAAAGAATTGCTGGAGCCCTGCAATGTTTTCACCAACCAAGTAGCCACACCACTTTGCACAGACTGGCCTGTGATCTTCCTGCATTCTGCGAAAGTGCATGTGGTTGCTTTTGTCTGAAGAGGGACTTATGGGCCAGGGTTGGATTTATGAACTTGAGTTGGACTGGGCTATGATCCTTTCTTGCTATATAATCAATCCTTGATATAAAGCTCTTCCTTACATTTATGAGCGTGCCATTGGATTTGTTTCTCTAGTGAACCTTGCCTAACACAGCTGCCGATCTTTAGAGAAACAGAGAGCATCCTCTTTCACCCTCAGAGGGCTGCAAGTTTCAAACTGCTGACCTTGGGGCTAGCATCCCAACATGTATCTGCTATACCACCAGAGCCCTACTCCCCACATGGCAAGAAGAAAATCCTTTATTATCTGCTACACAGTCACTTTTTACAGACCCCCAAATCGAGTTGAATACATAGACTTCTGGGGCAAGACACAACACATGTCAGATTTGTCTTTCAGAAGACCCAACAAGCATTTCTTACAACTGTCAATTCTCTTTCCAATTATTTAGGATCTGTGCCCTTTCCAAGGAGAAGGACATTGACTGAAAGTCAAATGAGGTAAGAGGAAGGTTGGCCCTAATGGCCAGAAGTATATTTCCTAAGAACACAGTTCCGATTCATATTTGCTTCCCCATCGCAGTGTCTAGAATGATGGTATGGGCTCAAAGGTTGCTCGTCTGTACCTTTGGGGTTTTCCACACATTTGTTTATCACAACAGCACCTCAGGTTAAGTAACTGCAACCCTTGTCATGGATGTTAAGAATAAAGCTGAAATTGTTAGATATTCAGTCTTACAGTTTGCAGCACCAAGGCTGAAATCTAAATCAGAAAACTCTTAATGGGTTATTCCCATTGTTCAAAAATGTTTGTTAAAAGCAAGCATAGGAGACTTCTTTCCATTTCAGGTCCATGATCCAGGTAAATAATTATGTGGCACTTCCTTGTCACTTAGCCTTCCATTGGAGAATTGGGCCCGAAATAATAGGACTCTCCTATTTTTAATGTTTTTAATTAAAGGCATATCTAGAAATAAAGTGTGCATCTATTGGAAGATATACTAATATGGACACAGAAAAGGGTGTTCCATTTTTGGGTCACTGACCATTATTAAATTTCCTCCTGAGGTTAAAAAAAAGGAGGGGGGATACAGCATTGCACATGCAGACTGTGAATATTTGCAAGGACAGTTTCTGGCTGTAGAGTTGTTACACAATACATTGAGTTGCTTAAGGCAAAAAGATCTTTCCCTTTCACTGAGCTCATTCAGATGCCCCTTCACTTAGATTGGTTTGAACACAATGTGCTGAGTGGCAGAAAGTGGAGCTAGGGTTGCCTCATCAGGGCTGAATACTGGTCACCTTATTCAAAGACCTTACTCAACCTTCATCTGCCCTCTGGAGTGAGCTGCCTGCCGCTTGCTGGGGTTTTTCAGCCACACTTACCAAATGTACACATAGTACTTGTGGTTCTAACAGCACAGGGCACTGAATCTCACGTGCCAGGAAGAAGTTTGTGACTGGTTGTGGGCACTCAGTTTGGGATTAGTCATAAAGCGGGGAGGGGGGGGGGTGTTAGGTAGGGGCACCTAATGCTCACAGTTTTCTCCTGTCCAATCTTTTTCATATCACCTCATCATTTACCCATGACTTTATTCCTCTGCTCAGTCTCCTATTGGACCCGGGAAGGGAGGAGGCCTTGAAATATTAGCTTCTCCAGTGGCACCAACCCGCCCTCCTGTAACCCAGCCCATTTCTACCTCTGCAGGAAGGGGAGTCAAGGAAACCCTTACAGAGTAACCTTCCCTCTGTTCCCCTCCAGTGCTGGGTGTACGTTTCATGGTAATTTCCCTGGAATTGAACAACAATCCTCCCCACCACCCCCCCACGCCAACCTGGAAAGTGGCCTTGACTGTGATCGCCCTTGTCAAGGCAGGCTGCACTCCTTTGCACGGAAGTAGGGAAGCGGCAGGGGTAGCAGTGCAGCTGCACCGCAGCATCCGCCGCCGACGAAGTTGTCGGTGAGCCAGGCTCCCGCGCTAACTGGCGGGCCTGACGCCAGAGCAGGGCGCAGTTCGCCCGAAACCCGGAGTAGGCCCAGCAGTTGCAGACCCTCCGTCAAAGCCCGGTCGAGTCTCCGGTCGACCAGGGCACCCTCCTCCCCAGCACACACCTGCCCATCGCCTCCTCCCGGCCCTGCGTCCAGGAGACCGAAAAAGAAGGACTCCTCCTCCGGGGTCGTCTCCCCTCCCAGCACCCAATCCGAGCCCCTCTCCGCTGAACTTTGCAAACACGACGACCACCCACTTCCACCCCTCTAGCCACTCCGTCTCGTCCCTTCAGCTACCGCGACGCCACCCAGGGGTGCTGGCGGGCCGCCCAGGCGGGATGCTAGCGAGGCGCGCGCAGGAGACGGCGGGCGGGAACCAGC